AAGTAAATACAAGAGGATAAAACTTTCTACACAGAAGTAACAAATTAGATTTGCTCTTGCAACTCTCCAAAGATGTCTTTGTACGTCTTTGCTTTCTTTCCTTCTCTCCATTTATGTCAGGTAATTGAATGTGTGTCTGCGTTGTTCTGCAGTTTCTGGTGTAAGTTTATGCATTGTCTTATATTGGATTAAACTCTGTAATTCTGTGACGTCAACACGCATTGCTGGTTTTCCTTGGGGCCACACGCAGCTCGCCGAGAGGACCTGGGATAAAAAAGGAAGAGAGAAAGCCAACCTTTTTCCAAAGTTAACTATTTTAGAATAATTTCTTCCTTAACAATGGTTATACAGTATCCTTTTAAAAATGTTTTTGTATCACCTTTACAAAAATCTAATCTTAGTGCAAAATGTGTGTTACAAAACATGCTTTGTTCTTGATAAGAAAAATGTTTAATTCATTTTTTCATCATTCACAGATGAACTCAATGAATTATGAAATAATTCTGGGAATAAACAATCAACACCACCAGTGGACTTTGGTGGTAATACATGTTTTTTTTTTTTTTTTTTTTTTTTTTACTTTAGAAACATTAATTAGCATACTTATCTCATAAACAAAAACTACATAAATAATGTCAACTGCACTTTCAAGGTGATCTATCCACAAGAAAAAAAAGTCTGTTCTTGGATCCACTGGGGGAATCAAAACAAGAAATCAAGAAATGTTTGCAAATCACAAGGTAGGGTTAAAAATGAATTTTTTTACTGAAGTATGAAAGCCATATAAAATTGTTCTTAATAATATATTTACAGGGCATTTATGAGGAAGAAGTGCAATGTCTCACGTTGGAAATGTGACACTGTCAAGCATCCAAAACAACAAGATAGGACATCATGTGATGCATTTGCACTGAAGGTGCATACATATTGTCACACAGTGTAAGACTTCAGGATTTTGATATGTATTTTGAGACATGCACAGGGAATACTTTCTTTGTTACTTTAATTTAAATCCATTAAATGAAGCTGTACCTCTCAGTTTGCAGAAATGATCCTAGCAAAAGAGGTTTTGGATTTTCCTGGTTCCACTGAGGCAGTCTACAGCATGAGGTTGCTGTCAGACTTATTATTATTAACAGTGGTGAGGATAACATTCATATTCTTATTTTGAGTGTTAATGACAATTGCTATCACGATTACATTAGCATAGAATCTAAAAATATTTATTTATGGACATTGTACTGGGATAATCATGTGTGTTTGTGTGTGTGTGTATGTTTTTATAATGTTATTACCAGATGACCTAAGACATGTGCCACTTCTGTGGAAAGATGAAAAGTGACACGGACGTGAACTGGGTAAGAACTTTTTTAGAATTTTTCAAAGATTTAGTGTAAGTTAAATGAAGAGGACAAGGGTTATCGAATTGTATCTTGCATAATCAAGCTTTGATAGGATCCTCCAGCAATTGGAATATAAGGGAATCTGAAATTATTGATTGTGTAGTGTAATTGCAAAGACATATTTTTAAAACAAAACCTCATATTTTTGGTTTCTTTCCTAGATCCAGTGTGTCATGTGCCTGAGGTGGTTCCATTAGGCGTGTGTGAGAAGCCCACCAACTAAAAAAAAAAACTTTCACTGCTTTGCGTGTTTGCCTTAGGTTCCTAAGTTTGCTGTGGTGTGCTGGTTTATGTATGTTGTTCAATGCTTCATAAATTACATTTTAAAAACTATGTTTGATATTCATTCTTCCAAGACTTTAAATTAATATAGTTATGGAAACATTTAAATTCCAAGGCCCCTTGCCTTTGTGAAATGAAGAGCAAATGTTTTTGAATCAAAGTTAAAGACTTGCTGGTAATTTTTTTCCATGTTATTGGGAGAATGGATTATTCAGCCAGCTAAAACAGCTGAAATATATGGTTCCCCTCTTTTAATTATGGCAAATTAAGAGTAAATATGACCAAATCCACAGGATTTATTGTTGATTGTGAGAGGAATAAGCACAATTAAAGACTTGCAGGTACATTTACTTCTTCCCATGTTATGGAGGGGAACAGATTATTTCAGGCAGCTGAAATATATGTTTCCCCTCCTTCAATTTTTGCAAATAAGGTGTAAATATGAACAAATGCTCAGGATTTGTCGTTGATGATGAGAGGAATAAGCACAGTTAAAGACTTGCAGGTACATTTACTTCTTCCCATGTTATAGAGGGGAACAGATTATTTCAGGCAGCTAAAATATCCATTCTCTCCTCTCCTCCTCCCATATATTTGGGAAAAAAGAGCAACTGTTTCCAATTTCTCTAAAATTGATATGTGTGATAAGTTATACTAGAAATGTCCTTAATCCAGTAATCTGTCATATTTTACATTAGAAGGGGATTAACCAGAAATTCTAAACTCATCTTCGCAGGATGTCTTAATTTTTGTGCGCAGTTATCGGCCAGTTTCCATCCTCTTATATAAGCAAAGAAACATAAAAAATAAACTAAGTGTTGGAAATCTGTGTTTGGTGACTGACGTTTATTTCTGTCAGGCTGAAGGGACAAAAGTTGGAGAAATCCCGATTTTCTTGGCGTTTAAAAAAACAACACAAAACATTGTAAGAAGACCTCGTTAATGTATTTATTTAACAAATTTGTAAAAAGAGCAACCGATTAAACTGAATGTTACAAAGTGGAAATGATAATATGAGCTGTTTTCACCGAGAAATTATCAAGAGTGCCTTGAAAATGGTCAGATCCGCCTCTCTGGCTGCAATGCTCGCTCCCGACACAGGGGGACCAGATTTTCACAGGGAAACAGAATCTCGCACAAGACCGGTGTCGTGCGAAAATTTGTATCCCCTCGTCGAGGGCGCGCACTGAGTAGGTAGAGCTGACCGAATTCACTCCGCCTAAATCCCAACGTACTGAAGATGACATTTGAAAGGTTTTATGTTTATGAAAGATGAGCTTTTCTGCTTTATTCTTCCCCTCACATGTTATAGCAAAATATCGGCAGTGATGATAAAAAAATAATAAATCACGAGCGTTTGCTTGAAAGAAGGTCGCTGACAGCAGTGTCTGTCCCTTTCTCTGAAAGCCAACAGCTCCTTGTTCGTTTCAACACATTCCTTAAAAAAATCTCTCGTTGTTTCAGTGAGTCTAAATGTTCGCATCCCATTGAAAACTGTTGTCAACCATATACTTGTAATAAAAATTTAATAGAAAATGGAGTGTACGTGTAATTATTAAAGACCTTATCCAGAAGGAAAAGAACCTTTTCCTATGTGAAATGTACGGAAGCATATTGCATTCACTGAATTTTGTTTCCAACCACTTTTTTCCCATATTAAACTGAAATAAAATTTAAAATTTTTCTCAGTGGCCCTAATCGTCTTCCGTAAAGATAATATGAAGGACTGTACGACAGATGTTTCATGCCTCACTGTTTTGGTCATATAATCTACAAAAAATACGGAACAAATAGACTTTTATTAAAAATAAAAGCTGGGAAATTATAAAAACTAGGGCTGGGTATTTTAGCCAAAGTCCTGAATCGATTCGATGTTGATTCATAGAGTTCTAAATCGATTAATTTCGATACAATCTGTTTTTACAATAATGAAAGTGGTTCAACTATGTTTAAATAAAATACTCATATTTGTAATTTTTTCCTGTCATATTAAACACAAAGTGCAAACTTGTAAATCAGACAGTTTAAACTTGAGACGTGAACAAAACTGTCTCAAAAGTGCAAACTGGTTTGTGAAAAGTGAAAAAGTGAAGCCTCACTCAAGTGAGCAGACGTGACAGAACGGGGACCCAGCAGACATGCATGAGCTGCATTATCTTCACTGCACAAACCATATTTGCAACATTTTCTGTAACAACTACAGGGTGTTTGCTGTTCAGCCCCCATTTTTTAATGTCTTCAGTCAACCTATTGGCTATATTTGCAGCTGTCTGGCTTGAAGTAATCTCGAGTGCATCTTTCCTGCTCATTTGAATGTGAACGTCACGCGCGTCACTATAAAACTAATCGATCTCATTCCCTAAACATCGATTTTGCACAAATGTAAAGGAATCGATTCAAAATCTGCTTTTTTTACCCAACCCTAATAAAAACTCCCATCTTTACTATCATGGGGTGACTCCTTTCTCTTTATTGTGAAAAAAAAAAAAAGATCCGGGGCTTGATGAGAATCATTCGAGACTAGAATACATATCTCCTCTGTCAATAGCGATCCCTGCCTTTGCCATCAACGCCAACATAATTTCTACAACACATCGACTCAAACACAGAGCCAGAAAGCCAGAAAATATTAATAAGCGGGCCAGGCAATAACTAGTGTACACTGAGGGGGGTGGCCGAAAGCAGACAGGTGCCAGAACCTCAGGGTCAATCTAAACTGTTCCAACAGGAAAATTAACAATCACAACATCCATATTTTCTACATAAAGACAAACTATACTTTCATTTGCATATATTTAAACACACATGGTGTCTAAATTAAAGGTGTAGTGGACAAAATTCTTTCAGTTTTGAGTTCTGGGGCAAACATCTTCATTGTTCATTGTTCAATTCATTGTCGTTACTTACCTATTTTTATTAAAAATCATTCTGCATAAAATAAAAATGTACATGTACTAATATCTACATTAAATGAATTACTTGTTATTAAAGTAGTAACTTATCTCTGATTTCAGTAAAGATTCCTAGATGACTTGCTCAGACGTAATTTTCTCTTTACCCCATATTAGACAAAATCTAGTTCTGAAAAGAGCATGAATTTTGTATTTATCTTCTTTAATGTTAGTATATTGATGTGCATAATTAACCACAGTGTTTTTCTTGTCAGGTAATTGTTTACGTATAGAAAATTAAAATGTTTAAGTTAAAACGTTCCACTTGAGAGAATTTAAAAAAAACACAATTTCGAGGTTGAGCCTTACATCCTAGACCAGAAGGGGGCGCTAATGAAAGTTGAGCAATGTTAAACGCCGTCAAACCTCAAACGAGGAAAACGTGTTTTGGAGGAAGTGCGCTGACAGTCTCTTTAGCAACAGCCGACCATAAGCAATGGCCTCCTGCGCGATGGATAAAACTTGAATTAATGAATCAACTCTGTTGTTGCGTCACGTTATCATAAGTACTTAGCTGTTTATAGAATCAAAGAGTAGAAATTTCAGCACTAAGAGGTAGAAAACCCAGCTGTGGCTTGGAATGGCCAGCGGCGGTGGATTGGCGTCGAACCAAAGCGCTCCGGAGGCTCCCTCAAACTCGGTCCAATGCGGAGCTGCAGCGGCTCTGTGCAACATGCCGGCTCCGTCCGCCTCCCCGCCGGGCCTCGGCCTTCAGCGGGAGCCCGTCTACAACTGGCAGGCGACGAAGAGCTCATTGAAAGAGCGCTTCGCTTTCTTGTTCAACAACGAGCTGCTCAGTGACGTCAGGTTCGTCGTGGGGAAAGGCAGACAGGCCCAGAGGATACCTGCTCACAAATTCGTCCTGGCGGCTGGCAGCGCCGTCTTCGATGCCATGTTTAATGGAGGGATGGCCACCACGTCGGCTGAAATCGAGCTCCCTGATGTGGAGCCGGCTGCATTCCTGGCCCTGCTCAGGTGGGGGAGACAGGTGGTCCTCAGATCTCTGCCTGCACCCACACGGCACCTCACATTTCATCAAGACAGTATACTTAGGGAATGAGAAATACGTGAATTAGTTTAAAAAGAAATATATATATTTTTCCTCTTACGTGCTACAAAAATCCACTTCAGTCTGCGTTTAGATTTTTGTTAACATGTTTTAAAAAATTTAAAGTGTCGTTGCTTTATTATTTTTACAGGTTTCTGTATTCTGACGAGGTCCATATTGGTCCAGAAACTGTGATGACGACTCTGTATACAGCGAAGAAATATGCAGTTCCAGCTCTGGAGGGTCACTGTGTGGAGTTCCTGACCAAGCATCTGAGAGCGGACAACGCCTTCATGCTCCTCACCCAGGTCACTGTCACCTCTGTTGGTTGTTTTTTATTCTTAATTGAGTTGAATTTAAGGACACCCACCATTTTCTAGCTATAAAATGTATGCCCCTTAGTGCTGTCAAACGATTAACAATTTTAATCGCGATTAATCGCATAATATCGACAGTTAATCGCATATTTTATCTTTTTATTTCGGAAAGTGTAAAAGCCTATTTGGGCATTTTAAAAATTATGCAATAAATCAGACATCCCCAACCTCAGTCCTCGAGGGCCGCTGTCCTGCAGGTTTTAGAGGTTTCCCTGCTTTAAAGGAATAGTACACCCAAAACATGATTAGCCTTCATTTTCTACTCACCCCCATGCTGAACAACACTCTGGAGTACTTTTTTGATATCTCAAATGCATCTGGAGATCTGGGAGGCTTCTTGCTGTCTGCTGACATTCAAATAATGGAGGTCTATGGTGTCCGAGACAGAAAGGTCCATAAAAGTCCACAAAAACGTGTCAATATTCCTCCATACTGCTCGTCCAATGTATTCCAAGTGTCCTGAGTGGGTAGCATCCAGAATTTACTCGAAACGAAGTCATTTAGAATGTTTTTAGAGACTAAAACAGTAGTGTATAGTATTTCCTGAAAGCGCGCGCCAGCGCGTTCAGGACGCTACGGAAGCCGGCAGACCAAACCAGATGAAAGTGCGCATTCAGCGTCTGCTCTGCTGATAATGCAAGCGTAGAAGAAGAAATGTGCTGTTTACCTGTGCAAAGAAAGAATCAACGAAAGAAAAATGTCTGAGGACTTCGGTGTTGAGGAAGAGCAGGAGTTCTTTGCCGAGCTGAATGCGCTGGTTTTGTCTGCCGGCTTCCGTAGGCTCGTAAACGCGCATGTGCGCGCTTTCAGGAAATCCTATACACTACTGTTTATGCTCTGAAAACATTCTAAATGACTTTGTTTCGAGTAAATTCTGGATGCTACCCACTCAGGACAATTGGAATACATTGGACGAGCAGTATGGAGGAATATTGACACGTTTTTGTGGACTTTTATGGATCTTTCTGTCTCGGGCACCATAGACCTCCATTATTTGAATGTCAGCAGACAGCAAGAAGCCTCCCAGATCTCCAGATGCATTTGAGATATCAAAAAAGTACTCCAGAGTGTTGTTCAGCATGGGGGTGAGTAGAAAATGAAGGCTAATCATGTTTTGGGTGTACTATTCCTTTAACACAGCTGATTATAATGATTGCAGTAGACCAAAAGCCTGTTAATCAGCTTTCAATTAAAATCAGCTGTGCTGAAGCAAGGAAACCTCTAAAACCTGCAGGAAAGCAGGCCTCGAGGATTCAGGTTGGGGATTCCTGCAAATGACATGTAAAAAAACATACTTATACAAAAAGTTGTTTCTATTATATTTATTTTTCAAGCACTTTTAAGAAACTAGAATAAAAATATCCTTGTTTAAATACTGTGCAATAATTATTTAAAATTTGTTTAAAGAAAAATTAGGTGTTATGCTTCTATCAAAACTTTACAAAACTACATAACAGTAAACAGTACTTCAAAGTACTCCGTAAACTTAATTCTCTTTCAAACATAGACAGAAATAAAGATGTACTGTTAAAATGAAGTGCACATTGCGTTATGAAATACAGACTTCATTCAAATAAAATGAAGTTACTCACAAAATAATAAATAATTCAAACAAAATTACAATAACTGACTTCTGCAGTCATCGCAACAACGTAACATTTTACATTTAGAACATTTTCAAAATGCTTAAATATTCCTTTGCTCTGAAGAGGAACACAGCAGCAGTGCAGTCCACATGACTTAGTTCATTTGTTGTCTTGGTGGCACTAATCCAGTGAGATGCTCGTTTCTTCTGGACAACATAGAGAGACGACTCGGGTTTTGTCAAGAGAGACTTCTGGCATAACTTTAAAAAGAAACGTATCATTCAGGATACCTTGTTTGCTGGCCATCTTTGCCTTTTCAAAGCACGGGTCTGTTATGCTGCGGACTCTCACACACAGATAAGCATTCCTGGAACTCCGGAAAGTGCACGGGGTAAAACGAACAGTACAGATAGTGCTGCGGGTACAAAAAGAACATAAGCGAACGGTGCGTGTGTTTGATGCGTGATTAATGTGCGTTTAAAAAATGTTGGCATTATAGTCTAAAACAGTTAACGCGTTAATAACACATTAAAACTGACAGCCCTAATGTCCTTGTTTTGTAGCCTGATAAACCAGATTAAATGTGAGATGAAATGTGTAATTTAGTCTGGTCCCGATGAATGAGACATCAGAAGATTGTTCATGAGAACAACCCATCTAATGAGCGCCACTGACTGTTACGTAGTAAGCGCAAAAGAAAGCTAGTGGGGGAGTGTAAACAAACAGCCTGTCGGTAAAACGGCGAATACGTCTTTCTTAAAAATGAAGGAGCGTAGAGCCTCTTCTTGCTCACGTTTCAACGAAAACCCCAAGTCTAATCCTTCCAAAACTGATTCCAAAGCTGAGTCAAACGAGAACAGTTCAATAGTTGTTGCCATCTTCCTTGTTGTGCTTTCTCCAGCGTTGCTTGAGCTTTGCATCCAGAAATTCAAATCACATCTCTGCGTTGTGATTGGCCCGCCAGTTCTAGAGCCTGGGCCATTGATCAAGGCTAGACCATTCGCATGCAAAAATTATTTTGGCTGCTGGCAGGTGGAGCTAGTTTACTAGGTTACTTGTTTTGAGTAAAAGTTACAGACATAACTAAATTTAACTATGAAAGAAGAAGAACTTTATAACAACTTTATAGTCCTTACATTGTCACAAGTACAGCGCGAAATTCACTCTCTGCATTTTAACCCATCCGTTTTTGGGAATAGTGGGCTGTAACCCCACACTGCTGGGGGACCAGTGTGGGGTTAAAGGTCTAGCTCAAGGCCCCAGAGTGGCAGTCTGTGGGAGTGGGGTTTGAACTCAGAACCTCAGGATTCTATGTGGTTTATGCCCTAACCACTAGGCCGCCACTCCCCTGTAGAGGAAGGGTGAATCCAACCTGAGTGATAAATCGTTCTCTGGGCCGGATTTATCAAGATCCAATTTTGCGTGCAGTAATTTGCGCTCGCAAACTGGAATTTTGCGCGAGGGGCTGAACCATGGTTTGCGGGTGATTTAACAAGAGCGATTGCGTAACTGGTGGCAGGTGCAAAACTGTTGGAGACGCCCTATTTAAATGCTAGTTTTGCGCGTTTGGTGGTTTGCGGCAAAGTAGTTTGTAGTTTGTGCAAACTAGTGCATTAAGAAATTTTAATCTTACAGTGACACCCCCACCCCCTCCAAAAAAAAAAATATATGTATATATATATATATATATATATATATATATTAGTGCTGTCAAAATTATCGCGTTATTATCGCGTTAACGCGAGGCCATTTTAACGGCGATAATTTTTTTAACGTGAGATTAACGCTATGTGGTTTTATGGTACAATTTTCCAAGTACATCCCGCTGCAGCCTGCGAGAAGGCGGGGCTATTTTCCCCCAGTCTATGCATTTCTCATAGGCTTCGAGAGTGGAGCTCCTCAAGGAAAAAAGACGCTCATACACTGGGTGACGCTAGTGCCTTTTCTTTAAGCCCCACCACCAACAAACAAGTTGAGTGTCTGGTAACTAGTAGCAACCTGAAATACGCTGAGAAAACAGATTACTGAGGTGAAATGGAATCTGCTACGGCACTCTTGCTGTCTGTGTACGCCACAGGTCGGTATCGTGTGTGTGTGTGTGGGTGGGTGTGTCTGTGTGTGGGTGGGTGGGTGTGTGTGTGTTCTCATTTTTGTTAAGAGGCTGAAAAGTAACTTTCTAGAGCATAGACTACCTCCATCTAGTGATGTCGGTCTATTGATTTTGATGTATTGATTGAAAATTGTTCATTATTATCTTGGTTAATTAACATCTAATGTTAACTGTACCAAATTTTTTTAGCAGTAGGGTAAAATGCTTGTCTTTGTTCAAAAGACTGTATTAACTGTAAAGACTGTCTTTTACATCAGCCTGTTTTCAGGGCCTTTTTTTTGGCTACATATTTGTTATTTTTTGCTACATGCCTCCCCATCTTCTTGCCATATATTTCTATGGCATAAATCAGTGTCTGTGACCTGTTTTCATTAAAAAAAAAGAACATTGGCACAAACCTAGCCTGTATGTATTTTTTGTATGTCATCGAGAGTATTTAAATGATTTTCAATCAGGAAAAAAAATTGCGATTAAAATGCGATTAATCGCGAGTTAACTCAGGCATTGATGCGATTAATCGCGATTAAAAAAATGTAATCGATTGACAGCGCTAATATATATATATATATATACACACTTTGGCAACCTTTATTCCCTAAGGTGGTATGTGGCTGAATTTCTACTTCACTGCAGTAAAAAAAAACAAAAAACAAAAAAACTGGTGTTTTGTATTGGCCTGTAGAAAAATGCACATACCAAATGGCTCGCAAGAAGTGAATGTGGATAAGATGACTGCGCGTAGGCATCCTCGCAGCATTGGCATGTTGCTCCACAGGCGCAGAGGTCGGGGTTCTCTCCGTTAGGGCGTCCGGGCGACATGGCATTTAAAACGTCGGACAGCACTTCTGAAAAACGAGATTGGGAGATCCCAGATGCAAAAAAGTGCAATGTTGCAAGGAGTTTTGTGATATCTGGTATTGCGTGGGTCCTCCTTGTGGCTGGCTCCAAATCCATTCGGAGTTCCCCCAACAGCTCCAAAATGGCAATGCTGGATAAACGATATGTTTTGATGATCGTGTCCTCGTTCATTCCAAAAATATTCACACGGAGTGAAAAAATGCGTTCTCTGCGTCTCCTTGCTTCATTTCCATGTCTCCTTCTTGCGACAATAACCGCTGCCATGTGTGCGCAATTACGCATGCAGACCATTTGCACCTTCTTTTGAAACGTGTTAAATATAGAGTCAGATACCGTTAGCAAAATTGCTTTCAGGTTTAATAAATCACTTTGCGAGTGCTAAATTAATATATTTACATGTTCTCCTCCCACAAGACGCACTTTTGCGTGTAAACGCCCCATATTGCATATTCATTGCAGAAAAAGTACTAAATGGATAAGAGGCGCTATTTAGCACGTTTTAAAGACCAAATCCTTTTAGCACGCTGTTGATAGATCAGTTTGTACATTTTTTAGCGTGCGCAGTGAAATAGCTCACGTTTTTGTACGCGCAAACCTTTGATAGATCCGGCCCTCTGTGTAAAATGAACAGAAAAGACCACGGGTTAAAAATACAATGGTACCTTCATTAGCTACAATCACACAGTATTATATCTAATAATTAAACAAAACTAAACACTCCTGAAATTAAGCAAAATGAAAGAAATAAAAGGGGAAGAGGGGTTTAAGAGTCCGTTCAAAGTCATAGTTATGTTTAAAGTTTAAGGCTTGACCCCTTGCTCACACTGGCTCCGGTGCGGTTACCGAGCCGACGGAGACCGCAGCTCCCGCACACCCACTCTCACACCGCCCTTTTGACTATGGTGCGGTGCGGCTCCGGCAACAGGTCCGGAGATTTAACTCGCGAGAACAGAAGTTCACTTGAGTTCACGTAACTTCACGCGATAACACGGCCCAAATGTAAATGAATCAAGTGATGGGGCCACAAAGTTTTGACCCCGTCTTACCAGCAGGCGGCAGGGACGTCATATGGGTTGTACAGAGGGAAGGCGGAGAGAAAGGACAGACAATACATGCAAACGAACGTGTTTTATTTTGAAAAAAACAGTCTTTTATTCTCATTGGAAAACTTCCTGTTTGTGCCGTGATATTTGCGAGAGCTTGTTGCGGAGGGCTCCGGCACGCTGCAGGGATAGCTTTCTTGCTGAATTTTCTGCAGCGCCGGAGTGTCTCGGTAACCGCAGCCGGACAGCTCAGCAGCCGGTGAGAGGTTTACGTCTTTTTAATGACTTGGAATCACTGCGGCGCCGCACCCACCGCACCGCAACAGTAAGACCGGAGTCGGTGTGAGCCGGGGGTAATGCATTTGAAAGTGTCCTTTGTAAGTGCAGCAGATAAAATGTAAATAAACCCTGACACAGATGTTAACTGCAGTCAAAATTGGAATGAGTGAAATTTCATTCAGTTTATGGTGAAAAATGAATAATGACTCAGGAATGCATTAAACTATGATGAGGTTGAAAGACCCGTTTGCTTAGCTGCCCCCAGGGGTTCTGGTCGGGTCCAGCTGAAACAAAGAGAGGGTTAGCTCTAGGGCTGCAACTAACGATTATTTTAAAAATCGATGAATCGGCCGATTATTTTTTCGATTAATCGATGAATCGGACAAAAAAAAAAATTTATATTAACCTCTTTATTCCAAAATAAACATTTTAGACAGAACAAACAAGCACACAAGTACAGGTTGCTCATTAACTGTACTGGTGCAATATGAAAAATAAATGTTTGTGTTAAAACTACGCAAACTTACATGAGAAATGTAGCTGTACATCCACAAAATATAGGCTACTTTGTTTCATAAAGCGCAAAAAGAGACAGGCATTTTTGTTTTTTAAAGCCCCTAAGGGGTTCAAACAATAGGCCCCCCCATTTCAACAAATGAGGTTTTTTTAGACTAGAAGAGTTCTGCCTTTTAAGACAGGAAAGTATAGCAGTTAAAGTTGCTGCTTGAGAAAATACTGAACCATAGAGATAAAAATAGCCCTGTGATTCAAATTATAAATTGTATTTGGAATAAAAATTAGAGAACTAGGGGTGGTAAAAAAAACACATCCTCCAAAGACAGATATTTACATGGGAATGTGGCAGATAATTAATTGACATATTACTGATCTTGCTGGATTTTATTCTGCTTTACTTCCATAAATTGCAGGATCTTCTTTTCTTTATCTTTGCCAGAAGATTTAAACTTTAAAAGCCTTTCCCTCATAATTTGCAAGTTAATTTATTTATAAAGAAAATATAAACGCTGCTTAAACAAATTTAAATGAAATTAAAAGTAAAATAAGTAGCCAACCTTATCACTGTCTGTAACCTACTAACACGGTAAGGAAAGCATCAGATGAGCGAACTGAGAAACTAACGTTACGTTTCCCCTCTTTAAAATGAAACAAACATGGTTACTCATCCTGCTGATCAGCTCTCTTCACTGCCATTGAAGGCTCCAACGTGTTTTCTTTTCAGGTGCTGCGTCATAACAGTGGTGCTTCCGCGCCATGTTCATTTGTTTTTACAAAAGTTGCATGTTACGACTTTTTTCACTTTACAAAGCGCAGGCTATTTTAATTATTGTGATCAATTTGCGCCGTCAATCCCGGCGCATGCGCGCTTCATTTGCAGTCTGGACGCTGAGGGTAAACTCCTCACTAAAATCCTGCTGCTCTGACTCTGACTGCCGCGCTGAGAGGGATTCCTGTGGGAGAGGGAGAAAGGCGTTGGGATGGGGGAGGCGCCCCACGGCAGGCAAAAGCCGCCAGTGACACCGTAAAAAGTCGCCAGATTTGTCGCTAGTCGCTTTTTTGAAAAATAGTCGTTGGAGGGGTCTGAAAAGTCGCTGAGTTGGCAACACTGCAACTGCGGCGCTGACTCGCTCTGCCATATTTTTTTTTCTTCCCCCGGATGACGGCGGCGGCGGATGACGCATTAATCGCGCGACACAACTAATCGATGATTAAATTCGTTGCCAACGCTTTTAAAAGTCGATTTTTATCGATTTTATCGATTCGTTGTTGCAGCCCTAGTTAGCTCACGATGTAGCGGTTAGATTCAGCAACACGTGACTTGTTCGGTCTGTAGTGAGCATTAGCATTCAGTAAAACCTTTAGAAACCATCAGCAGTTCAATCAGAAAGCTTATTTCAAATAAAAACACCAACACCACTATCTATTCTACCTATACTTCACCCAAGCAGAGCACTTATTAAGCATCAGATGTGAAGGAGGGGGAAGAGTGAAGTTACTGTTTGGTCCGGTGGTTCGAAGGCCTTCGGCTTGGTCCGGTTTTCTGCAGGCCCATCTGCGGTCGATTCCGTTCTTCCAAAAGCAACTCAAAGAGATTTGGATCCATGTGATGCAACAATAAGAGGCGATTTGCAAGGGGGTTAATTTCATAACTCACTGTAGCACGGGACATCTCCCTTTTAGCTACGGTGGTTAGCTTGTAGCTGAAGCTTCTTCGATGCTGCTCCATACCAGGCATTCACGGTCCGGCAGCTTCTAACAGCTCCTTCGACGAAAACACAATCGGGGCCCCTGTTGTTTGGCGGTTAGCAGAGCTGGATTAGCTCTTTCTGTCTCTGCTGCAGCAGAATTCAGGATACACTGCGTTCACTCGGTTTGAATCGCGGGAAGAATAAACACTGCATTCAGCTCCTTCTGAATCGCAGGGAAAAGGCAGTCTGACTCGGTCCAGCGAGCACAGGCTTCCCCGGAGGGATTTGATTGCTATGTAGCATAGCCTTCAGCTGGGAGCGCTTTTGCCTAGCCATTAGCGGCGCAGAGCCACGGGCATAATAGGACACTATTATGGGAAGCTAGTGTTTTTAAAACCTACGCCGGAGGGGTGTGTCTTCAGAGGAGTAGTTCCTGTTTCAGCGACAATGTATCGCAAAAGTGGTTGGGCTGACCTTTTTAGTAGGGTTAGGACCCTTTTTTTTTTGCACTGCTTCTTACATCAAATACCTAAAGGAAAAAATGAATCGATTATTAATATCAACTGTCATGAAAGGCTTATATGGGTTGTTTTTGTTTGTGCTTTGTCTAACAGGCGAGGTTATTTGATGAGCCTCAGCTTGCCACTCTCTGCCTGGACACCATTGACAAAAGCACTGCAGACGCAATAAACGCGGAGGGCTTTACTGACATTGACCTGGGTATGTTTGTCCTCTTTACTCCACGTGTGCTATTCCACCATGTGGATTTATGATCTAAAAGTGTAGCTGCTCTGTGTGTTTGTATGCGTAGATACTCTATGTGCAGTGTTGGAGAGAGACACTCTTAGCATCAGGGAGAATCGTCTGTTCGAAGCAGTGGTCCGCTGGGCAGAGGCAGAGTGTTACAGACAGCAGCTTCCCCCGACATCGGAGAACAAGCAGAAAGTCCTGGGAAAAGCCCTTCCACTGATCCGCTTCCCTCTTATGACCGTTGAAGAGTTTGCAGCCGGTATGTGTCCTGGCAGAAGTTCTGTTTTGCTTATCAAGCTGATAACATTGATCCTGAGCAGTTCTCCAATCACTCCGCACGTTCTTCATGTTCCTGATGTGTCCATACAGCTCCAAACCACAGAAACCAGTTTGATATTTTTTCTTGTGCAACAGGGCCTGCCCAGTCTGGAATATTGTTCGATCGGGAGGTGGTAAATCTGTTTTTACACTTTACAGTAAACCCCAAACCACGGGTCGACTACATTGACAGGCCTCGCTGCTGCCTCAGGGGGGAGGAGTGTAGCATTAATAGGTTCCAGCAGGTTGAGAGTCGGTGGGGGTACAGCGGCACCAGCGACAGAATCAGGTCAGGCTATGTTTGTTAGACGACACCAGAATAAGAAAAAAGCTGAGTCATGTTTCTTTTTTTAATGACTTTTTTCCTGTTTATCTCTCCCTTTAGATTTAATGTTAACAGAAGAATATGCATTGTGGGTTTTGGCTTATATGGTTCCATACATGGACCCACCGACTATCAGGTCAACATACAGGTAAGGCCTACAACCACTGGAAAGTCTTCTTTAGGAAAACATTCATACAAGGCTTAAAGGTTAAATGTTGTAAGAATTGCTGCCATCTAGTGATGAAACGTCCCTCTATTAAACATGTATTGTTCCAGCGTATTGTTCCTCCACGCAGCCGACCCGGGTTCGAATCCGACCTGTAGTCCTTTGCCGCATGTCTCTCTCGCTCTCATACCCCTTTTCTGTCAGCCTACTGTCAGAAAATCAAGCCACTAGTGCCACTAGAAGAAAAAAAAAAGCCTCTACAACACAGTTGTATCAAAAATGGAATAAAACATGAAAGATATGGAAAAAAATTCAACAACACAGAAAGGGCAGTTAAATGAATGTTTACATGGTTTCAGTAGCCGTAGTCGTCATGATGAAGGCGAACTGAAGGTCCATGGGAAGTCTCTACAAGATTGATTTACTGTGACTAAATACCAGTGTTCACTGCAGCTTTGAAAGCTACTGAACTAAACCCACATAAACCTACAATTCTGCACCAACAAGATGGGTATACGTTTGCATGATCTACTGTTATGCTTCCCAAAGTAATGAGTAACACTGTCTTATAAACCGAATTTAAATTTTAGTGTTACAAAATGGCAACTTAGTCCTTTTTAAAATCTTTCTCCATCCCTCGCCCCTACCACCTCGAGAAGGCTTGCTCGGTGTTGATCCTTTTTTTTTTTTTTTGCTTTCTTGGGAATAGTGAAACCGTTTCTTGTGTTGCTGCTGCATATGCATGGTACTGCATTGTGCTGCAGTAATGCAGACTTTCAGTTGTTGGGTTAGTGTCTCCAAATGACCTTCCAAGCTGCCGTTAATCACACTGAAGTGTCAATAAACATGTTGTTCTTCCACTTTGTTAGTATTGACTTATCCCTCCCTAACATAGGTACTTTCAAGATGGTAGACTGTCATGACGCTTTGTAAACAGGTGACCGGCCTTATTTATAACCTAATATCATATTCCTCTCTTATGAAAATGTATCTGATTATTAGTGGAGGAAATAATAGAGCAATAATAACACCTATGTATAAAGAGAAACGTAAGAGCAATTGTTACACGACGATTCTTTAAAACAGCTGATTAAAAACACAAAATGCAGCCAATAAAATTAACATTAAAGTTAGATATCTTAGTATTTTCTCACCTTGGAGAATTTATTCTGCGTCCTTTAGGTAGTGATGAGTCTTTGACTCCTGCAGAGTTTAATGGTCTCTTGCTAATAAGTAATGGAAGGATGGAGATGGTTTAGGAGCGTTAGGCTGGGCCTTATAGGACCGCTGCCCTTTGAGGGGAGCTCTATAGAGAGTCTGCTCCTTCCTGTTAGGAGCCAGTAGGTACTCGGCTCTGAAAATGCATGTTGCCTCTCCAAAATGCGATTAAAGATATCTTGAGTTGTTATTTTTCTCTAGAAATAATATAAAAATATAAAACATCATTAAAAAAATCTTTAAAACATAACAAATTAAAATTTAGTAAATAATGTATGTCCATTGTATTAAAATTAGTTGTCTTCTTAATTCACAGGGCCCCATGCTTGTCTTTGCCTAGGACCCCAAATTTCCTTAATTCGCCCCTGCTTCGATTCTCTCCTCCCAGTTTGTCTGTCGTGCAGAGAATTACCTCCCCTGATGCAAGCGCGCGCATCGCCCTAAACTCACACCCATTGATGAGAAAGCGGATTGAAATATGAACAAAAAGGGACTTTTTAAACAAATTCTTAATGTTTTCATATTTTTTATACATGGATGCCTTAAAAGTGATAGTTTTGGTGGACAGATAAATTCGAATTAATAGGATTTTACTTGTATAGAGACATTTTTCAGTCGATGTGCTACAGTCAGTGTGTACTGTGCTATGAATAAATTCTCTGCCATCTTTGCCATCAACACTATTGTAGATAATTTCTGACACTTTATGTGTTCAACTTAGAACCTGGAACCTGCCGAAGATTCGCTCCCCTCCTTAATTTGACATTCCCTCAAATCGCGTCGCGTCGCGTGTGATGCTTTTCAGAACACCGTAAGCTGCTCCGCTGGTTGTGCGACTGAGCTCAAGAATGAAATCGCATTTTTGCTCAGGCTACTCAACAGCCTGCCAATTGTTGAAAGGGCAATATTACTGCCATTACTGTTAATATATAATAGAAGGGGGGTGATTTTTTTATGTTTTTTAAGTTTTTCTTTTAAGAAGGGGGATGCCATCCGCCCTCAACTCGAGTACTGGTCTTAACAGTACTATATATATATTCACTTGAAATAAGACTGTAACCCAGTAACAAAGGTGTGAACTGACTGAACCATCGACTTGTAAAAGTAATTCATTAACTTGCTGTATAATCCAAACAGAGGAAATAAATCCAAACATCCAAGTAGTGCCGATGCTTTCCGGGACTTTGAACCACCTCAGGATTTTCTGTTATGTTTATGATTACTCACCGTTACACCGTGAAAAGAACTTTCACTTAACAGAATTTTTCATTTCTTTTGTCACACCTTAATACTTCAGATCATCAAGTTAACTTCGATAAATAACTTGAATCATTTCCAACATTTTCAAATAGATATTTTATGTTTAAAGTAAACACATGGTCCTGTGTCACAAAATAAAGTTTTTTTACTCATTAAACCATTAGGTAATTATAATTAACCTCAAGTTACTAGTTCAATCTCAGTAGCCCCATCCAGACCTGATTTCTGTTAGATGTGTAGAATCAGAGACTTAATACGATTTAAAACAGGAACAGTCAACCTATATGGCATGAAGTTGGCCAAACTATCACAGGAAAATCCAGGAAAAGATAAACTGATTCTCTGACATTGATCAGAGGACCATGGTAGTTATTAACATGAAGCAGCGATGAACCTCCCCTCATCTGTTAATCATCTGTCATGGGAGAAACAAAAGAACTAATAACAGCATCCATCCTTTAGACCCAATTATTTTCTATTAAGATCAGTGTTCAAAATCTAAATAAGATGGACAGTTGTGGCTAACGTCCATGAGGCGTTCAAAGACTACGTTTCTCCCCTAAAAACATCTTCATGATCCCGAACACATGAAAGTATTCTGACCTAAATGAGCTGTTTGGAAGGTCTGCATCATGTTAACTTTATTATAAAACTAAAAAAGCCTTTCATCATAAGCACATCAACATTGAAGGTCTTGGTCTGCTTCAGCATCTGAGTGATTATCCTAGATTATTAAAACCATGACTTCTTTATCTACATGGTGTAACAGTCTCCTCACTTGGCAAACAATTAGTATTACTCCTTAGGGGGGTAGTGATGTAAAAACACAAAGTAAACTAGATGAATCTGTTTCTGAATTCTGACATTTTGTTTTGTATATTAAATTGATTAGATCACAAGACAGAAAGATTTCTGTAGAGTCTTTAAGGTTAAACCCAGGAACATAGAGGCAGCCCTCAGTCTCCTCATGTGGGATTGAGATAGAAGGTGGGAAGATGGTTGCTGTGGAGGTTCCACACCCGAACGGTCTATAGCCGCCAGTCTCGCCATTTGGGCAAATGGGACTCCTTTTTTTAGGCCATGTTCTTTTTAATATGCTGATGAATCAAACCATGTTTCCAGTAACAAATCAACACTTTTCTATTTTCAGATCATAGAAAGCGACAAACGCATCACACTAGGTCAGAATGACACCGCTTTCAGCTGCGACGGCTCAGGAAACACCTTCAGAGTGATGTTTAAAGAGCCTGTGGAGATCCTCCCCAACATCAGCTACACTGCATGTGCCACCCTAAAGGTTAGTCGAACCCATCATCCAAACAATTCATCTTTGAAGCCTAAACAGACTGGTTTTATTTATTTGTTTTTACTCTTTTTCGTTTTTCTCACTCAGGGTCCAGACTCTCATTATGGCACTAAAGGGTTGAAGAAAGTGACAAAAGAATCAACCACTGGGACCAAAACAACATTTCTGTTTTTTAGCTCACCTGGAAACAACAATGGAACGTCAGTGGAGGACGGACAGATACCCGAGATCATCTATTACATATGAACTTTGCGTGTTGCCATGCAGGTACAAAGAACCAGGAGACCTCAGACCACTGGGTAGATTGGACTGCTATGAATGAATGCAGTGCCTCGGGATCCCATGGAGTATTAAAATATGTATGTATGTGTGTGTGTGTGAGAGAGAGAGAGAGTGGAAGAATCTATGTACATAAACATGCAGCTCGGTTTGTGTGTGGAAAAGGTTTTTTTTTCGGCCTAAAATACTTTTTCTGTCATAAGTTGTCTGAATACTGATGTTCTGTGATGCAGAAGTTGTACAGATAAAAAGGCAAATGCAGCAATCCAACCTTCATCGAGGCCAACTCACTATATCGGTTTGTACTGATGCATATTTTAATCGTGCACTGTTGTACTTTATAAAGCAGGTGTCTTCAAGTACTTTCTGTTTGTTGTACAAAAAGGACCAGTCTTCATTTTGCCAGTGGTTCACTCTGTAAATTATTAGTCAATATTTACTTAGCACTTCACTAAAATGTACACGGGAAAATAACATTTCCTGAGACATTTATGGCTAATTTAAACGTTCATTAGTTTATTTTTTAGCAATAAAATGTGCTAAGACATTTAGCATTTAAAAATTTGTGCATTCTTCTTTTCTGCCACTAGGTGATACTGTCTCCTTCCAAACTGGGTTCCAACCACTGAAATTATTTATGGTAGTATATCTACTAAACTCATATATTTTGTCACATTACTTCCACAAACATGAAAATATTGTATTGGAATCTTATGTGCAAAACCAACACAAAGTGGTAAACAACTATAGAGTAGAAAGAAACGTTTTTACAAATAGACTGAAAAGTTGTGGGAGATATTTAGCTCCTTTTTCTGAGTGCAAACACCTGCCTTCAGAGGTTGCCAGATGATTGATTATAATTTTGACGGCCTCACAAGTTGGTTAGGAGAATATTGGGAAGCAAACAGCATCATGAAGTCAAAGGAGCACACCAGACCGGTATGGGGTAAATACATGGAGAAGCTTAAAGCAGGATTACGCCATAAAGAGACTGAACATTTTACAGATCACTATACCATTCATCATCAGAAAAGGATGGAAACTAAACCTATGGAGACGACACCACCCACTAAACTTAAAGGCTGAGCAAGGAGAGCACTGATCGCAGGTGCAGCCAGAAGGCACTGGATGAACTGCAGAGATCTGCAGCTCAGGTGGAAGGTGTTACACAGGAAAAACTGTCTAGAGAAGTAAACATTTCTTAAATTAGGTGTATTTACCCTTCATTTGAGTATCTAATTGAGATAGTTTGCCAATGGAATGAGTATTTTCACTCTTAAAATAAGATAATTAGATAATATGCACTTGAAGTAAGACTATGTAATTGTTTTTTTTTCTTTTTTTAAGCGTAAATTGTCTTGTTCCATTGGCAAAATGTCTCATTTACCTCCTCAATCCAAGAACAAATTCACTTATTTTAAGAAAAAATTATCTAGATTTAGATTTTTCCAGTATACAACTATTAGTCATGCTCTGCATGGAAGGAGAGGAAGCCATTGTTAAATGAAAAGCTCCCTGTTTGAGACACTGCAAACATGAAAGAAGTGCTTTGCTCAGACAGTACAAAAAAAAAAAGGGTTTTGTAAAAAGTAAAACAACTTTGTGTGAGGAACTTTCACTGCACATCACTATGCATGCACCGTCCCCACTGTCAAAGATTGTGGTAGCGTTATACTCTGGAATAGATGGGGCACCTTCCAGCAGGAAAATAAACCTAAAGTCTGGGCTACAATTAACAGTGAAAATCAAAACATTAAATGGCTTAGTCAAAGTCCAGACCTAATCCCAATCAAAAATCTTTAGCAAAATCTGAAAACTCTTGTTCTATTTAAGAATACTGTTCTTGGCTGTTTTTTTTTCCCAGGGTTGGTGAGTATCTTTTACAATCTTAATGGCTTTTTACCATCTAGAATTTACCAAATGTCAGTTAAAACACTAACTTCAGCCTCATTTTTTCCAAAATTCTGCTGTGAAGTTTGAAACAAAAGCCCCAAAGGATTTTTTTATGCCTGTGTGAGCTGTAGTGCCGTCTCCTGAAGCTTGCAGCGTCTGGATCTGCTAGTGCTCCTCCATTGCATAAGGTGCACCTACATTATTCGAGACATTATTTGAGGCCCTTTCAGACAGCTGTGAGTGGGCTTTGAGGAGATGGATCCACGAAGGCTGTCGGGTGAGTCACCAGGACCTGAGAGCTTCTCTCGCTGTCTGCCCACTTAGACAACCTTTTATAGAAGAAAAACCAGCTTGACGTAGGAATATTTTTGTTGTTTTTTTCCTCCTATATTCCAGCCACAATGTAAATTAGTTAAAAGTAGAAACACATTCAAGCATACATCCTCACCTGAGTTGATTATCTGAAATGGTCTGGATAAAGCTTCATATTATGCTTAAAAGAACCACTTGAACTACAGAATATTTTTATTGAGGAACATGTAAATGACAAGTTTGAACAGTAACTGAATCATGTTTTTTGTCTCCAAAGTTTTATCCTTCAGGTTTATTAGAGAGATTTGTGATATTTCAATGTCTGTTGTGGGGCTTGCCTGCTCGAGTGTGGGTGGTTGTATGACAGCAGAATGAGCTGTCCTTGACAGTTTGAGCCTTAGACTTGAACACTAACAGCAGGGAAGCTGCCTCTGCTGTTGGTTTTTGATAATATATGACACACGGCTGTGCAGAAATGAGATCTTTATCACAATGAAGCAGGATTACACTAGAGAAAAGCACCACATAGTATCTTAATTTCTTCTAAAAACCTTAGTTTTAAAACCAAGATAAGAGTGCATGTTTTAACATCTGTTTGGATTTCACCACTTTTCTCAGATCAGATTTATTTAAACCATTTAATCTGTAAAATCCCAACAGTTATGTACTCCATCATCTGTAAATGAGGAATATTGAATAACTTCCATCCTACTTAAAGAGCTTGTAAGTCCCATTCCCAGTTTTCCTGAGCTATCTAAAAGAAGCTGGAATTGTGTAAAGAGGCACTCTTCTCAGATGAGAGAAAAAATACTTTTTTTGGCTTAAAACATCTCATGGTGGAACATGGTGGTGATGAAATCACACTGAGATGCTTTTCTTAAGTAAAGTCAGAGATTAAATACTCAGATTCCCCATTTTGTAAGATTTTACATGACCTGGTTGACCAACCAATATTTTCATCAAACTAAATCTGCCCACAAGCGGGCTGACTGATGGAGACGGTAACATCTCATGCAGGATTGCTACCTTTAGGCAGTTGCATTCCCAATGAAACCCCACAATCATTGGGGTTTTTAAAGGTAGGAATAAGGGAGTTCCTACATTTCGGTATCAGCTCCTAGTTTTATCACCTCCGCATTACAATCACAGCACACATTCTGACCCTGGGAAGTGGTTAGTTTTATGGTTGGTACAGATGTATTTCTGGTTCCTCTGTTTATAATTTAAAGCTCAAGATTGGTGGTGCAAAAATACATTTTGCAGATTAAGAAAATCAGAATAGATTTCCTTTATATCTTTTGGAGAAATTTCAGTTTTACAGCAGGGAAAAAATAAATGAATCAAAACAAAGAATATAGCTTGCTGGAAGTTAGAAGATCAGATGGTGATAAAGAAACAATGAGGCCAGCATCTTTCAGCCCAGTGATCCATGCTTGGTAGATCCCACTGAGCTTTATTCTTTTTTAAATTAAAACATTTTTTTTTTTGTAAATGTCTTTCTCAGTCCATTACTATGATTGTTGTCTTTTGTGAAATTGACTAGGAGATGTGTTACTTTTATCTGATGGACAAAAAATGTTTATGTTCATTAATTAATTTAAATAAAAGAAATGCAAAGGGAAAATAATAGAAAATAAGATTTAAAAGCTGCAGAGGGGCTGATATTGGGGCAAATGTTCACCTCCCAGCAGTGGCACGGGAAGGGGGGTGCTGCGGGGGCTGCAGCCTCCCTCGTCATAGCATCAGCCCCCCATGGTGGGGGGCTGTGGAGTAATATAATATTGTACTTAAAAACATGGAATTATTTATGTATTTATTTTTTAAAAGACTGTGTTTGATATGGGATTAAAATGATGGGCTGTGTATAAGATATAAACTAATGATTCATTATTTAAATATTTCTTAAAAAACTAGGCTACTCCCCCAGATGTGCTTCTGCACCTCACATTTGTTTAGGCATGGCTAGCAATAGGCAGCAGAAACGTATTTCTGACTATTTCGAGGTAAGAAATGGTTTTAATTCCCCTATACTGCCGCCGAGCATTTATTTAGCGTTATTTATTTCTTATTTATTTATATATGCTGTGCCTATTCGTCGTAGTGCTGTGGCTAAAGAAGTCTACGCTAGAATAAGGCTGCACATCACTAAATATTATGTCTGTATTAAGCTATTTAGTGATAAAATTTGAAATTAGTTAATTTTTTTTGTGTGTGTTTTTTGTTTCAGAAATGAAATCATTCCCCATATCCATAGTCGAATGGACTTTCAAGACGTTCAATGCTTAGTTTAGGCTATATTTAGGCCATGTTTTATTCAAGTATTTCTGATCCTGTTTATTGGGAGCTGTTGTTTGTTTTGAATGATTAAAAGAGAAGAAATAAACTTTAAAATGTTCATGCTTTGTTCCGATGCATTTTAAATGGCAGTTTTTTGCGACAAATGTAGGCCTACAATATTATGTTAAAAACGTCAGCAACAGCCCTCAACATAATGACGTCATGTGTTTTCCAACCCAGCCATCAGCCCCCCTCGCTTGAAACAGCTTCCAGCGCGCCTGCCTCCCAGTCGAATAACAATAGAACTTTATTGATGGAGACGATGGAGATATTCACTTGTGAAAATCAGCTCTTATAAACAACAGGAGGTGAACAAAGGAGGAAAAGCATGAAGTTTATACAGTGCATCCTGTGAATCTGTTGGAAGTAAAGAAAAATTAAGGTTTTTTTGCAAGCTGATAAGAGTCAGACCTTACCAAACTTAAGCTATGTTGGATCTACAAATTAACAGAACAAGGACATGGCACACTTGTAAAAACACCACAGTTTTTTTCCCCTTCTACTTCATGATCATTATCAAAATATTCTAAAGTTTGGGGTGGTCTGCAAAGAAGAGTAATCTAAAATATCAGTCACTACATGCTCAAAACTGGGGTGACATACATAATCTAAAACACGCAGCTGCTGTTACAGCAAAATGTGCTTTTAAAAAATATTCTCAAAAGGGGGGCTGAATACTTTTGCACAATGCCCTTTTTTAATTTTTCATTGATGTAAAAATGTGAACTACACTGTTATTTACCCATTATGTTGGTCAAATACTTTTGTTGGTGGTTGTATTGTTACGAGATATGGAAAATATCAAGGCATCATGAACCACATGGAAACATAAGAGGGGGTTATGCTGCTTTCATTTTCTAAATTCCTGAAATATATAGTGTTAGAAACGTACATCTAGATTTACACAGACTCCTTTTCAACAGTCAAGAAAAAGGATTCAGGTGTGTTGCAAAGTTTCCACCTGTCTCAAAATCCATAATCAGGTGGCATCAGTATATAAACTGATATGATACTAAATGATATGCAGATCATATGCCAAAGCACAAACAACTTTCAAGCAGCACATTTGCAAATACTAAAAAAATATAAAACTGTATTTCCAATTTTTTTTATTTAAAATCTCACATATATGCCTTTCCTATAATTTTACCCAGTGTGATCAGTCTGAAATAATAGAAAGCCATTATTTTTTATTCCTAAAAGCTTGTCTCTCTTGTGCTGGCATATTTTCTTACACTTACATTTATTAGGGTTTTCTTATGCACAATGACACATCTTCTGTATCTGTAACCCAATAAAAAGGCATCTATACAGAATGTTCTTGGGGGAGACCCAGCTGTGGATATGTGTGTGCTGGCTGCTCCTAGGCAACACCCATATGCAGAAGGAAACATGTTTGTGTGTTCCTGGTGGAGGTTATGCAACCTGTGTCCTGACAATATCAGACAGTTGGCTAATTAAACACCATGTAGACAGGATTGCATGGCGAGCATCAATAACCCCTGCAAGCCTCTGAATTAACAAGGTTTGGGTTTGTTCATGGCAGCTGAAGCTGCTGTGAATTCAAAATCCCAGTGGACAAAGGAAATTAAAGAGGCCGATGTGGTGAAGGAGGAATTGCTAGAAGAGTTTTTACAAAAATAATCCGATTTAGGTTGAATATATCAACAATGTTTTTTAAAATTAAAATGTAATGACCAAAGTCTGATTTTCTTACGCTGAATTATTTACTCAAAATGTAGTTAAGGGTACCATCAAGCTGTAAATAAATACCTTAACAAAAAAAATGATGAGGAACCATGCTGAAAATATCCAGTTGTTATTCTGTGGTAAAATAATATCTACCTGAACAGTAAGCAGCAAGTAAGTCAAAACAATGCAGACTGGAGGAATTAAAGATGACTCGTTTTTAATTTTTAATATAAGGAAAAGGAATAAACAGTTTTCCGGATCCAGAATTTGTTCCTATATATAGAAATTAAGCTTCGTCTACCTGCAGCATCAGTGATGGACGCGCTCACATGTTTGTTGCTAAAACTGGGGCAGTCATTACCAACATAGTCAAGTGATGTTTTTGTCGAAGCTATTCACAGAAGTGATAAGCATTTAACAAACTGTGTCAACTTCTTAGAAAGAGCATAGCGTGTAGCTATGACCTTCAGTGACACAGTTTCCCACTGTACTTCCAGTTCTCTTCATATACCATAAATAATTGTTGAAGGTGAAATTAAGTTAAATAGAAGTTTGCCAAAAAAAACTTTGCTGACATTTGAAAATAACAGGAATAATAAGTGTTATTGAATAAAATGGTCACAGTCTCCCATCGCCCTATTATGTACTGCAGTAAGATATCACCAGATATAATCAGACTAACAAGCTCCTCTCTGCAGCATGGTCCAGTGTCTTTACATGCATGACCTGAGCAGATGCATGATTAACTTATAGCGTGTGCAGCTGGATGAACAGTGGACAATATATCAGACCTCATCCAACAGCAGCAATGTCTAAAAAGTCAATTTCTAATTCCTAATTAAGTGCATAAAAGTGGCTGGTTACATATTGCTCATAAGATGCAAATGTATAGGGGCTTGGATGCTCTCATGAAAGCAGGGAAGTGTGTATTTAAATAAGAGCAGCAAAGCAAGCATACTTTCACCATTCAGACTCACATGCTACACGAATACTCTGTATTGTCTGCTGGGGTCTGGCTGACCCGGGCCGATCCTAGTCCCTGCACTCTCCAACACCAGATGTAGGTCACAAAGTGCTGCAGGGGCTGGGGGATGCAGGGCCCGCCTGTTTGTGTGTAATAGAAGGGAGGCTGGAGTGCACTGTGTGCACACATGTATTTCTGTGCGGGCCATGTAAGGGTGGGGGGGGTAAAGTCATGATTGTTCTGAATGAGTTCATCACCAAGGACATGGCCCCCAGCACACTGTCTCCATTGCTGTCACATTGTATTGTCCCTTACAGGCCACATGAAATCTGACAGCCCAGCAGATGAGACTGAGGGTGTACTGCCATCAGTGTGGCTCTCTCCATTGTTTTTCTTCTCTGTCTTTAAACCAACTAATTCGTTATAAGATAACTAATTAAAATCCAGCAAGGGTGAGTTTTTAAGGAGATCCATTTAGAAGGTTCTTGGCGTTACTTAATAAATAAAAAATATTCAGTAGATTTTTCATTGAATAGAATAAGTGCAATGAATGGGATATTCAATGCTTCATGGTTCCTGAGGAACCAGATTAACACAGTGCTATCCAGATTAGTCCTTGCTGGTGTGAAGCTCAAGACATGATCTTTTGAAATATTTTCATAGAATGTCAGCTCATCACATTTTAGCAGTGTTCTTTTTTAACAAATTACAAATTCACTTTAAACAAATCAAAAGCATGCTTTATGAACACAATATGGTCTATTCAAATGTTTAAGCTGTATTCACCCCTGAAAATGTTGACTAACAGTATAGTGGGACTGCTTACTGTGTAAGTGGAAAATTAGTTCCACAAAAAGGGAAAAGGAAGATATTCCTATTGTGGCACCATTTATTAAAAGCAGGCCACTTTTGGTTCTAGCAGCATTGCTTTCAGACCATGATATTTAGAACTAGATGAGGATGAAGGCAGGGGGAAATTAAATTAAATGTAATGGGGGATTCTATTGATTTAGCACTTAAAATTCGAAGTGAAGATTTTTTCAGAAAACTTTTTCAACATTTCATACACAAAAAAAGAATTGATTGGAGAAGCTAAATGCTTCACCACTAATAATAAAAGAGCCTTTAAGAATGGAGACAGAAAATTGAGTACCGGTATATAGAAACTACTGGGAGAGGCTCGGATTAGGGCAGCTTCTCCTTTAAAGCAAGTCAAAAAAGTTAAAAATCCACCAAGCTTTGTTTCCAAGTATGAAAACGTTTTGCTTCCCATTCAGGAAGCTTTTTCATTTCAAAGTGTCACAAATAGCGTCGAGTTCAAGATAGAGTGGACCAAAAATACTTTATTTTGGCTTAGAAAGCATGCAAATTGAACCGGACGAGCGGGTCTGCCCCTTTGGGATGGGGGGTCGTTTGAGTTCTTAGTTAGCCTGTAATACCCAATGCCCTTCTATGACTCTGAAAGAGGGTTGTTAGACGGAATTGTTGGCCCTCTTTCAGAGACACAGACATGAATCAGGTATTACAGGCTAACAAAGAGCTAAAACGACCCGCATTCCAAAGGGGCAGACCCTTTGCTGGAAAACTTGAGGAACATGACGTTCACTGTGCTTACGATGGTCTCCAGGTGGGTGAGTGCCTCAGCAGGTAGATGATGGCGAGCTCCACTCTGATGTCAGGTCGGTAAGAAAACTGCAGTAGGTCCAGGGCAGGGCTCACTCTGGTGCATAGGTGAGCAAGAATGAGGCGGTCCAATGTCCCAGTGATGAGCTCCAATAATCAGCTTAAAATTAAGTCTTAATATAGGGATTATCATCTCAATCTTATTGTTCATTAGAGTTGATAGGGTGATACATGATAATATAGCTTTTATCTACATAACTATAAGGTAAATCCTTACCAAAAAGACCAGGGAATCTTAATAATTACTAAAGAAGTAAATAAAGATCTTCTGCTGTATTCATTCTCTATTGAAATAAGAGACTTACAGTTGTTTGCTTAGCTTAGATATAAAACCAATTAAAAGAAACATGCAAGAATGTTTTAAATCAGTGTTTTGGTCACAAAATTCTATGTGCTTCTGTGGCACCTATGTTAAAGCCTTTAACTTATAATGTATAGTAACTTAACTAACCAGAATTAAACTAATTGAAAGAAAAATAGGAATTTAATGAATCAAGAACATTTTTATAGGACTGTAAAACAAGTGGTTGACAGCTTTAAAGTGGATGCAGAAACGTATCATCTGATGACATCATACAGCCTTATTAGAAAAACGCATATAATAAGAGCAACAGAAAACAATCTGCAAATTCATGTATTAATATTTCAAAGATAAAAATACATCATTACATGTGTTCTTTAAATTCATATTTCAATCATTACTATAACTTCCTGCTTCCACAATGCATCTTCACTATAATCATAACACCAGACAGCCCATTTAACACTTGATGCGAATGACATCACTTATGACAAAGGGGAACATTTGAATACTACCATAAACGCATATATAGCCAAACTCATGAGACAGGTAATACTGGCAAATCCAAACAACTAATATCGATCATAATATGGCCTTTGGTGATGGGAGTTGTATCCTTGGTTGGAGCTTCTGGGCCCAGACTGATATCCACTGCCATGCCCCCAGTTCCTATCTCTCTCATGCCAGTGCTGCTGTCCACGACGGTCCCCTCGCCATCCCCTGTCTTCTCCCCAACCACGGCCTCTAGAGCCTCGGCGGTCCTGATATCTGAAAGACGCGTGGGAATCAGAGTAGCAATAATGACTATGTTGCCGACTGCAGCGCTGACTGGTACTACCTGCTGTCTCGGCCCCTCTGGTTTCCCCCTCCACGCCCACGCCAGTCCTCAACAATTGGTGGTGGATCAGCTGGACGATTCAGATACTGTTGGTATTCATGGTCTTCTGATGTAAATCTGTGAGCAAACAGCTCCTCGTAGCTCTGCTGGTTTTCTGAGGTCTCAGACATTCTGTTAGAAAGTCAAAAAGGTGGCTGTTAAACTTAAAAATGTATAATTAAAAACAAACAAAGATTTATGTAAAGACACATTTCTAGTTATGCGCTCTAAGACTGGTAGTAGTGCTATAAGAAATTTGAACTCCAAAAAACAGCTATAGATTTAAAAACTTTTGCAAATTGTATTTAAAAAAAAAACAAACAATAAAACTCTTGTTTCCTTTAAGAAACACACCTTTATGTTTCCACAAGTGGATGATAAAATATATTGGATTAATTTGGACACCTGTGGGAACCCTTTTGGATAATGTCATGCCATTTGAACATTCAGCAGCCGTTGAAGATTGGAGGCACCGTTGATTCATTTTCGTTTCATTTCATGTACTTTTTAAAATGCAATCTGAACATTTAGTTGTCTTGCACACACACCAAATGTCAATCCAGTGAACTTGAAATCGATTTCCTAATGAGATTATCCCAACAATTGCCTATATGCATCCTTCACATGAAAAACACTGTTTGGAGAGCGGTTCCAAATTATCAGAACTATCTCAATGTACAAATAGTATGAGTCAGGAGACAAGCATTAGAAAGTTAGATAACATTATACAAACAGAGGCACAGTGATGACAGTGGCAGGAGAAAATGTCACACAGCCATGACTGGATCAAAACGAAATGCTTCAGAGGCACACCATAAACCGCCGGATACAAGAATCATGTTGAAACAGGGGTTTAAACTGAAAGTGAATCAAATTTCACTTTAAATTATAAGTCAATTTGAATTAAAACAAAAATGACTGCCCTGTGAAAAACTTTTTTTTCTAGAATTACGGGCATATACAAAGCCAAACTGACAGGAAATATTCACTAGAACAAAAATCACAGCCTTTTCCAACAGGCTGGTGAGCAATCAAAGCAAAAACTAGAAAAATCCATTGAGTCTGCTGATTATCTAAAAAAGACTACTGCAATTTCTGTTATGTAGAGAGACAAAAAACATGTGCCAAGTTAGGATGTGGCATGCAGATAGAACATTAAAGAAGACTGTATACTGGGGTTAATTAAAATGTATATTTACATTTAAGAAATGTGGGTGTGCATACTCTTACAGAAGCTAAATTTAGTTTTTCCTTTTAACCTGCTACTTTTAGTTTATTTCAACAGAATAAACAGAAAAAGCTGAAGTATTCAACTTTTTGTTTTTCTTTACATTACAAAACAAAACTTGCAATGGTAACGTGTTCACTCTTTCATGTCCACACTGTAATGTTTGCTGGTTCTTAGGAGATGAAACATCAATCAATGTTTACAATATCAGATTAACCTAGAAGCGCCATTACGTCCATTATTACAACAGTGTTTTGAGCAATGTCGCAATATTATAAAAAAAAAGGTCAATCGTCAACCATTTTTAACATGCATGTTCAAACTTATGTAGTATAGTAATCAACAATAACCGTTATATAATGACTGATTTGCAATGTTGCTTTTCTTTTCTACCCTCCATAGGTGCTCTAGTTCAGTAAAGTGTATATTTTAAATCGGGGATTTAACACAAAGAGTAAAGCTAAAATTGAAAACACGATATGTTTTGATTCCAGATATATAACGGCGTTTAACACACACAAAAAAACACGACTTGACTATCATATAGCAGAAGCGATTTATACAATTATATTTTATACAATTATTTATACAAATATACTTACACACAAAAATTACGAACTGACTTTTAAGCTGCTGTTAGCCTTTTTAAATGATCCAGCAGCGTCGGAACGTCACTAAAATATCCCCCCCTTGAAACACACCAGACTCGAATAAAGGTTCCGCGAGCGCACCTGCTCTCAATTAAAGGGCTCTCATTTATTAAAGATCTTAAAAATTACTTGGTAGTGTTACCTATTCGTGTTTGATCTTGGACTAGAGATAAATTTTGAGAAGAATATGCAAAGTAAAGCATCTAAAATCATTTAACGGTCGATGATCGCAACTCAGCGCCACATCACCTTAAATATGTAAGTGTTTAAAAAAGCCAGCGCTGTTTTAACATTTCGTGATTTCAGTCCACAGCTTCCATACAATTGTGAGCGTGAAACCGCAGCCAGCACCGCAGACACCGCAGGTTTAAATAAAGAGTGGGTGTTTTTTTGTTTTTGTTTTTTTGCAGAAGAAAAAGCCGCTCCGTGTCGCTGCTGCTTTCTGCCGCTGCCCTTCATATGAAACCCAATCCTACCGGGGAGGAAGAAACTCCGCGTAGAGATCACACAAGGCAAACATCAACTTATTTCATTATCGCTCTGCGCGGGGGGAGGACACAGAGGAGGAAGCAATTCCTTAGTGGGATTTACAGCGACAAACCAATAGATGATTTTTTTTTTTTTTTTTTTTTTTTTTTTTTAAGAAAAAAAACTTCCTGAACTGAACGCGTTTCTGTAGGACAGATCTTGACAACCCGGTGGATCGAGTTTAGGAAGAAGTCCTCTCGTATTCCACTTGTCTCTCTGCAGCAAGAGGACTTTCTCTGCTGCGGATAAAGCGCAGCCTCTACTGACCACTAATAATCTGAGGACCGCACTTTAGACGTTTATTCGTTTTTTTCTTTTCTATCCTACAAATAAAACGGAGTTGCACCTCAAGTCCGCGGCGATGGGGTGAGTGATCAAAGAGAGCTGCCATTCAGAGCTACTCCAATAGCACTGGCTGTCAAATGTGTGTTTTTGCTGAAATGTCTCTATAGATGTTCCCCTATTATAGTTGGTGGATTTGGTTGGACTGTAATTACCTCAGTTTGCTTTATTTGTGCGAGAAGATCATCCTATATCAGACTTTGCAGGCTTGAAATAAATAATTAAGTATGATGTTGATAGGAAATATCATTGTTAGTGGATAATTGGGATTTTTTTTTCTCAGACTGCCACTATTCATATTTTTTTGCAGCCCTAGTTTGCGGTTTATGATATGGAGGTGTCAGAGTCAACACTGCCCACATGCACAGAGATTGAGCTAGTGGGATTCAGTGTGTACTTGTGTGTACTTACTGTGGTTTACAAAAAAAAAACACTTTATTTTGTCTCTACAGTCTGCTGTGGTGAGTGCTGATTCTGGCTCATTGCCATAGTTATGTAAGCAGCATCTCAATTCATATAGGCAGGATTCAGGTCTCTGTGTTGTTTTTTCACCATTTTAACACAGTTATAGATTTAACTGAAAAGTTTATTTGCACTTTGTTTGAAAGATTATGTAAATATTAGGAATCCTTCTACCTTAGGAGACCTAGGCATGTAATATTGATGATGTGGGTTTTACTGCGTTATGTGATGGAAATTCAGTGGAGTGAAAACTTGAGAACCACTTCCACACTGTTTCCCCCCCGATTTATTAAGTATTCCATTCAGATAGGCTGTATGTTTCATCAAACCAGTTTTACGGTCCTGTCACCGTCTTGGGACGTTTTACACAGTCACCGAACCAGTTTTGAAAGGAGTTGGCTCTGTCGCGTAATGAAACTGGCCCAGTGGACCAGCAGCCAAGCCAAGACGGGCAGGTCACACTGGTGGGGACAGCGTGAGTTCAAACTATGAGTTCAATAGTTTGATGCCTTAAGGCGTTTTAAGAGGAGGAAACAAGCGTTTCCTTAGAAGTTGAGATTCATTTTAAGATTGTAGGGAAAGTATGCCATCACTCTGGTTTAAAAGATGCCTTCTGTATGATCTAGTGTTGATTCCTCCCCACTATCATCTCAATTCCATCGCCATGCAGCAGACAAAAACATCTCACCTGGTCAGCCAGGCCAACAATGACCCTGACGACTGCCCCTTTCAGGGGCATAGACCAGTATCTGGTGTTGCAGGCTAACAAAGACCTCAACGACTCCCCATTACTAAGGGGTGGACCTATTCTTCCGGTTCTATTTGCACGTTTTCTAAGCCATAACAAGGCTTTGTTGGGCCACTATATAAAGCTTCTAACTCAGCGCTAATCCAGACATTTTAAATTGAAAAATCTTCCAGGATCAGGAAGCAAAACATCTTTAAACTTGGAAGGCAAAGTCCAGAGGGTTTTTTTGTTTTTGTTTTTTTTAAAAATTTTTTCATTTTTTGGAATGACTATGACCTGGATGACTGAGAATATTCACCAGCTTCTTTATGATCAGCTGATGCCTGATTTTTTCAATATGTAAAATTATTATTACACTGCTGAAGGACCAAAAGTGACTTTTTGAAGATGCTCTGTTCAACACTTCTTTTTGTTAGACTTCTGAAAACCAACATCCAGTTTATAATTTATAGTATATTTTTAATTTGGATAAGCAGAGCTCTGCCTCTGAACTCAATAATATATTTGCAGTGCATGATGCCAAAGGAATCTCTAGTGCATCAACTACCTCAGTGAAACAGCTTTTACACTTACATGTATGCAAAAATAAAATAAGCATGTCTTGGCTGTGATCCATCTTTTTCCTATGATTGTCATCAATCAAAACCTTTTGCTGATGTAACTGTTTGGTTTGGCATTAAGGTAATATTGCATTGTAGCTCTTGAGAGATTAGATACGTTTATTTGTAAGCCATTTATTGTTATGTGGAGTGTTTGTTTGGGTACAAGATGGTACATTTGAAATAGACGGCATACAATTTTTTTGTCCTTGCTTATAATTCTCCATCCGTATTGCATCCCCTATGACAAGAAGGGTACATTTGAATACCATCAAACACAAGTTTAGCCAGAGTCATGAGGCATTTAATTCTATAAATAGCTGCCAGTCTAAACAATCAATAGCAATCACAATATGGCTGTCAATGATGAGATTTGTACCCCTGGTTGGAGCGTCTGGGACCAGACTGATATCCAGATTATACGAAGCTGACAGCAACAGCAAAGTGATGCCATGTACTGCTGGATTAAATGGGGCATAAAGATGTCCCACTGGCCTGATGCTGGAAACGACACCCACATCCCTTATCATCCTGAGAAGTTTCCCTTTCAAACTAAGCTATTATAAATACAACCATCAGGTCTCAGGGAAAGCCAAAATGCAGCCCTGTCAAACCCAGTGGTGTGTAACTAAGTGTAATGGTGATGTTTAAGGCACTTCCAAAACATTCCTTCAAGCTTGCAGTAATCAGTGTCATGAATTAGCATTTGAAGTTGTTACTCCAAGTTTTACTTTTAAATATTATTTATGGGTTTTATTTTATTTATTTTTTGTCCATTTATGGTATTTCTCACCTCTTAGGTAGTTATTTCATAAGGGGCAACATGAACACTGAGATTGTTTTTTTTAAGCCCCTGTCACACCTTGACATTTTAGTCAGTGCATGCCTGACGTCCCAAAGTCTTCTAAAACACTGGCATACGCTGAACTTTCTATGTTTTTTTCTCCAAGTTTGGGTATATTCATAGAGTATTCATAACGAGTCCAGAACCTATGTCCGATGACAGCCTAACTTATGCATAACGCACGGCAGCGTAATGCCCATGAAATGTTGCGCAAGCCAGTGTATCTGAGGGGAGCAGCGATGGTGCCAGACTTGCATAAAACATGTCTTTGATTGCACTAATAACCTAGCTGCTGTTTACTGACACAGCAGATTCAGCAATCATGCCTGCTAGGAAGATTGTTGGTCGCGGCCGTGGGCGTGAACACAGGGAGGTTCTTGGAGATAGGTTCTTGATATGTTACGCATAAGTTATGCACAAGTTACTCATAGCTTTTGGATAAGCTATACGGCAGAACTTATGAGTTACTTACACGTAAAGGGGTCATAGAATGCAAAACCCAGTTTACATTGTCATAGATGAATAACGATAGTTCTGTGGGTGAAATGGACATACAGAGAAGTTCAAACCCGATCGACACCTCCTTTCTCTGCAAATCTCACAATTCTAAACTTCCACCATAGAGTGTGCGGCAGGCGGGCAGTGGGGAAGGACGGGGCCACTGTTGTCAAGGCTACCGTCCCCGGGTCAGGTTCCCGGACCAGCCCCCGAGCTGACGGCTCTGTTCTGTTGCACCGTAGTCAACCAAAATCCCAGACGATTTTGAAATTCCCCCCAGACTTTTTTTAGTTATGAAAAGTAGGACATGTCTGGGAAAAAGAGGACGTCTGGTCACCCTACCTTATCAACAATTTGATGTTTCAGGGAGTAAGTGGTCCTTGTAAACCAACCAATCAGCGCACAGCTCATCTAAATATTCATGATCATACCATAAAAGGAAGAAAACCTGTCGTTTCATTCTGGGGCTTTTAAGCAGGCTTGCATTAAGACTCGTAGAAAAGCAAATATGTCATTTTCATCCCAACCAATTACACACCCTATTCAGAGACCTTAAGGACCAGCACCAAATACCCTATATAATCATTCTATGACCACTTTAACGTATGTCAACGATCAGATAACTTACCTGAAAACTTGTGTCCCATGTATGTGCATACGCTAGGATACGTCAGGAAATTTCTCAATGTACTTGGCACATGTCGACGTGTGCCAGCATACGTCAGCGTGCTTTAGTGTACTTATAACTTATACAAAACTTTCCCATAACTTATCCAACGTATTTCAGTGATATTTCCCGATTTTTTTTCGTTTGTCTCCATACGCATTCTACATCCTCAATGTGTGACAGGGGCTTTAGCTGCTTTATTTTCTTTTACAAATCTGATCGTTGAAGCTGTTGACTAAAATCCTACTCTGGGATAAATTACAGGTCTCTTGCACTTATTTTGCTGTTTGTTTGTTTGAAGGAGTCTGACTTAAATGTGACTCTATTGCACAATATAAGGTGCACCCTCTGGTAAGACCTGAATCCAGTTGCTCTATAGATCTTTTAAGACACAGTGTGAAGCCTTTATTCAATTGGAACACAATATGCGTCATGGATGTTTTGGCACTTTAGATTGTGACAAGCCGAAAAATGAGTAGCTAACTAGATGGAGTGCTTATCTGATTTTTGTGTGTGAGTCCAGCTTGTGGACTGATGGTTAAGAGCTGATTCTTGGATATCTTATCATGCAAGTTGATGTTGTGAGAAATTGCTGCTAAAGTTCTATACTAACATTCTTAATTGCGCAACATCTGCTCTTGGATAACAATGATGCAATAATGTCACACCCTGAGGATCAGCCGGAGCTGATAAGGTGTGTCTTAGTTTTTGTTTTCACTTCATTGTTGCAGCTTTTTTCTTTGAAACTAATTGCTGCTAAATGAAGTTTCAGGTTAATCACGTCACATAATATTTGCTATAGGCAACACCCTGGATATTTTCCTTCTGCTTAATTACTAGTCATTTAGTGGTCTTATTGTCTGTCTTTTGTTTATAACATTTTATAAAGTTTTCTGGGACTCATAGAAGATGAGCATTACATTTATGGAGTGAGGAAAGTGCAGTCGTGGTAAGAGAGATAGTTGTATTTTAAGAGTGTTGCCCCTAATGCACCATGTCTCTGGTTGTACTAAAAGATAAAGCTCTTATTGCCTGAAGCACTGTTATACAGTCTGAGCACACAGGCAGCCAGCAGTATAATCAGCATATTGCTATTTAAAGCAAGCTATGCTGGGAGCAGCTCTAACACCGGGATAGATGATAATCTCCTAGCTGGCCAGTGAGGGACATCTAAAGGCTTAACACTTATTGATTAGGCTCTGTGAC